TTTTTTTTGGGATAATTGGCAGACTCATTCTATCTTCTCTTACCTTGAACATGAAACAGATTATTTATTTTTGCTTGGTGATTGGCAGACATTGATGGTATTTTTTGTTGGAGCATTGGCAGACTCATTTAATTGATGATATATTGTGATTTTTGGACGACATTTTTTGATTTATTATGTTTACATTATTTGTTTATTCTTTCCTGCAATAAGTTTTCTTTTTTTCTCATAGGACATTATTAGAGGTATATGTTCCATATACTTTATATATGATTTGGTTAAATTCTAATTACTTCACAAAATTATATGGCTTACGTATATGTTATTATATGAAACGTATATTTAGTTACTCAATCATATTTTTTTTTATTTCTTTTTTACAACTTCAAAATAAAAGGTATAGTTACTACTTAACAAGTTTATGTATATTATATACCAAAAATTATTCTATGCCAAGTCTTAAGTTTATTTCAGGTATTTGCTGCGCATAAATTTACATATCAGATAATGGAAAACTAGTTTATATTCAGGTTTATGATGAGCATAAATGTACATGTATAATTAAAATTGCATCTCAAATTTGATAAGAAGAACTAGTTAATTAAATTATATACAAGATGATGGAGATTGCAATCAGACACATTTCTAATTACCTCCATACAAATTTACTTGACTGGATTCCTACAAGTTTTCACATTATGACCTTTCTCATTACATCTGCCGCATTTGTTCTTCGACTTATGCTCCCAACCCGACTTGAATCTTTGCTTTCGTGGTCGTCCTGGCCTAACTTTAGCATCTGGAGGATTTATTCGTTGTTGCGTCGAGTGCACTCCATTGGTAACATTAGTGTTACCATCTACAGGTATGACCGCTTCATCATATGTAGCCAACATAGTTGACGTTAGGTAGTGCACTGAACAAAAAGTGATTGGATCCAAGTGCAGAGACTTTATCACGCGTATAGCATGTGGACATGGGAGTTCATCTATTTGGAATCGGTTGCAAGTGCAAGTCTTAGTATCTATATCCACTATATATGCCTTTCCATCAGCAATCACCTTGAAAATCTTCTCACTTGCCTTCTGAACCTACGTTAAAAAAAAAAAAATAATAATAATAAAAAAAAACAAAATATCTTATAATCAGTATATGTATTGTAAATACATAGTATATGTTCAGATTATTTAACATGTTGGTAAATACATAGTATATGTATATTATATATGTCTTACCGAAAACCTCGATGCTGCCTTATAGTTATTTTCCAACATGTTATGGGGCTTCTTAGCAAGTGTCGTAAAGGTTGCCTTCGCTTCTTCTCTGTTGGCAACATTCCACTTCTGTTGCATTTCTCTCAACGCCTCTAACAGTGTTGTTATTGGAAGATCACGAATTGACTTTGTCACTGAGTTAACTGTTTCAGCAGCATTAGATGTCATTGTGAAGTACCTATTTTTTGGACAATGAATTCTTGCCCACTTTTGAACTCCAATTTTTTCCAGATACGTTATTACATCCGGATTCAGCTTTTCTATCTCAGACATATACATATCATACTCCTCAACTGTATAGGCCCTTGCTGCTGCGTGAAATGAATCCTTTACCGCTTGCGCTTCTTTTTTATAATGTTTCTTAATGTTGTTCGATATATGATACGTGCAGAGACAGTGTGCTGCGCTCGGAAATACCTATACAAAGATAACGTTACAAAAGTTTTTTTGTCACATATATTCAGCATAACCGATAAATACATAAAAAAAACTGTCTATTAACCATATCAATAGGATATGTAACTGCCAAAAGCAGATTCATATGCTGCCAATAATATGTGGACAGTTTATGTACATAAACTGCACATAAATTGTACATAAAATGCTATTAAATTTCCACATCAATTGTCTATATACCAAATTACAATGCCTTTAAAATTTAAATATTTTATACATAACCTGCATAAAACAAATAGTATTTTCTTTTCATATACTGTCCAACGCATGCCCATATAAACACTTATTGTCCATAAACAACTACTACCAATATACCATTCATATAATTACCATGCGTGAGACATATAATCATCATATGGTCAACTTAAATTTAATTTTAAAACTTATCATTATTAATATTTATCAAAAAAATAGGCAACATAAACGAGATATATATTTATAACGTATATGTACTATAAACATGAAAAAAACTAATCATAATCGTGTAATATACTTTATATAAAAAACTGATTACCTTTTCTACAGCATTCTTTATACTCTCGTGTCCATCCGAAACGATGCATAACCCATCCCGGTCACCAATCAGTGTTTGTAATTTGTTGAAAAACCACAAGTATGACTGATTGTTTTCCGAATCAACGACACAAAATGCAAGTGGTAGAATGTGAAAATTCGCATCTTGACAACATGCGGTTAACAAAATTCCTCCATACGATGATGCTAGAAAAGTCCCATCAACAACAACAATCGGACGACAATACTTCCATCCTTTGACCGATGCACTAAGTGACATGAACACGTACAAAAAATTCTGTTCGGGAGTTGCACACAACTTCAGTATACTTCCTGGATTTGCTTCACGTATCTTCTGAAGATATTGTTGAACACAATCATAAGAATCACTAGCCTTTCCCCGAACTTCATCAATAGCTTTTCGTTTTGATCTCCATGCCTTGTGATACGACAAGTTTATACCGTATCTGATTTGCATGTCATCTATGATGTCCGCAGCCGTATAAGAAGTCTTATTGTTCATGAACTTTGACTTTATAAGGTTACAAACAACATTGGAAGTAGCCTGCCGCTGACCATTTGTTCGAACATCAAAAGAACATTTATGTTCGGTTCCAAGCTCTCTTATCTTGAAGGTGCTAGAATGACCAACACGAGATGCTTTAACAAACCATGTACAAGCAGCAGACATACACTTCACATAATACTGTTTATTACACGACTTTTCCACCCGGAACTGATACTGGTTCTTAATTGCATGGACACTCAAAAACCTCTGCAAAATTGACTTATCCTTGAAAGAAAAACCAACAACCAACTCAGAGGTCAACTGATCCTCGATCGAAACAATTTTATCGTCAGTTGGGTATATGTTCAGCTTATGTTCCGTATATGCAGCGTCTATTACCATATCTTCTGCAACTTTGCGTGCAAACTCCATAAAATTCATAGGCCCTGCCGGATTTTCAACATAACTATCTAGAGAAGTGTACCTCAAAGGAGCTATACCTGAGTTGAAAGTATTTTCCTCAATAGACATGGATCTGTCGTCCGATCTCGCCACCGCAAACGTAGAGTTTACTACAACACATACAGGGTTCTTCGTGTAGTCTTGTTCTCTTGACTTTAACTCGACGTAGAATTTAAGACTTCTATCGTCTTTTATGCATATCGGAGGATATCCTTCCTTCAGTTGGTATTTCAACTCCAAACTACAGTCTGTCGATGTAACTCCAAGTTCTTCCATAATCACGCTGCACAACTCATCATAGCAGTATTTTTGTTGAACCAAAACGCCAGACACCTGAAAATTTTGGTATTCATTCTGATTCCACTCACCACTGTGATGAATTATTATCATCGTCGGAGAATCCATCTGTAACAAAAAAAAAAAAAAAACAATTAACGTCGATTTTTTTTTGAAGCATCGATCAATGTAAACCATATATACTTACTATATACCACATGAAAGAATTTTTCCCTACCTTGTATGGATCAGTTGTAAGCCACCACAAAATATCGATCACAGTAATTGTTGAGTTACTCACTTTTCTTGCTGTTGAAGTTTAAATTTTGAATTACGTTTGCAGTCTTAATTGTCGAGGTTTTGTTACGATCTAGCTGGGTCTTTTATCTCTTTGATTCCACGTTCTTTTTTTTTTTTTTTTTTT